CTTCTGTTGACTGTAAGGGACACAGGAACCAGTTCTGGCCAGCTTGTATTTCCAAAACTCTGCTTTGTCTAATGGGTGATATGGTTGAATTTGGCTCAGCCACATCCTGTCGTGGGTCTTTCCCTTCTTCTGCTGCCACAGGCAGCTCTTTCTGGTCAGCCCTAATTGCCCCCATCTAAATGGCACTGGGAGCTGGTCAATTCTGGGAAAGATGACCTATTCTTTAAACCCATTCTAAAAGGGAAATGTTACCAGACAAAGAGGGTTCAGCTACTTGGAGATTAGGTCCAACGAGCTTTACTATCAGAGGCCAGAAATTCTGGAGAATGGCAAGAGTAGCTGCTCCAAGACAGTCTGCTATTCCATTTATTTCCTAAATCACAGTTTTATACATAAAAGTCAAAGCAAAAACCATACTAACCCTTATCTTAAACAATAATCAACATAACCCATGACCCAAAACAACATTTCCAATTAAAAAGTTAATCTCCTGAGTCAATGACCCTAAACTACTCAAGACACACACATTTAGGTTAAAGTTAAATTTACAAAACAATAGTGGAAGACATGGGGTGAAGGTCACGCAGGGCCTGCTGACCATGCCGGCCACGTCCACGTCCGTCCTTGCCCAACTGACTTCGTCTTATTCTCACTACAGGTGCTCTCAAAGGTAAAAGAACAAAATAATCTCAGGAGGAGATTAACTTTATGGACCAGAGTTTTTCAACCTTTTTTAGCTCATGGTGCACTTGAACCTATAGTTAAATTTCGTGATGCACTTAAATTATATCAATCCAAAAAAAGTAAAAGGCCAGGCATGGTGTGAGCACTCTGGAAGGCCATGGAGGGAGGACCCCTTGAGTTCAGGAGTTTGGGACCAGCCTGACCAAGAACAAGCCCCCATCTCTACTAAAAATAGAAAAACTACTTGGGCATTGTGTCAGGTGCCCGTAGTCCCAGCTACTCGGGAGGCTAAGGCAGGAGGATCACTTGAGCCCAGGAGTTTGAGGTTTCTATAAGCTATGACACCATGGCACTCTACCCAGGTGGCAGAGTGAGACAAAAAGGAAGGAAGGAAGGAAGGAAGGAAGGAAGGAAGGAAGGAAGGAAGGAAG